AGTCATTTCTGAGATGTAAAGCAAAAGAAAACATGCGGATGGGCCTTATGTGTACTCAAGAATGTTGATTTGTAAAAGACAAAATAGGAAATCCCTAAACAAATGAAAGCAGGGGGTGTATAATGCGCTTACCCGGGTTCTCAATAAAACAAGAAAAAAAAAATGAAAATAAATATCATGTAGTAATGCGGGCCAAGAAATTGAATAAAATAGAATGTCAAATAAATGACTCTGGTATCATAGAAGAGAGAAAGGGGAGGAGACAAGTTTGAAGACAGTAAATGAACTGGCTTGATCAAAAGAGGAGGACCCCGTCCAGACCGTATTATGCAGACCAACAACCCGCACACATATTGACGCAAGGAGGAATAACTGGCTATGCCAAACATAATAAATAGAAGGAAGAACATATAAGAAAGGGTGGGAGGGAAGAACATGAGATAGGTGTGTAGAAGCGAGGTAGCCAGAGCATCGTAACAACGGAAAGAAGTAGGCAATATAATTAGCCTTTAAATCATGAGAAGCTGTCATATAGACTGTCCTTCTCCATCTGCATCTAGTGAGTTCGTTCGATGTCCTTTGCACTTCCGCGCTTGGCTTAGATTAGGCGTTGAGGGTATCCGACGGGCTGTTCGGCCTTGCTTTGAAGCTAGTGGCGAAAGATCTTTGTTTCTGCAGGCAGTTGGCGTGTTTCCATTGGAGTGGGAGTCACTTTTCGTCCCGTTTAGTTGGGTCTTCTTCATTTTGTCACCCAACGAGCGGACAGTTAGATCGAGTTCTCGCTCGAGTTCACTGGCTCCCTGAAGGTTAAATTTATCAGATGAGACGTTAAGCTTTTTGCGATACGCACGGAGCGTACGGCAGACTTGCTCGGTGGACATGTTAAGGCTTCCAAATTCACTAGGCGAGTTGCTATTAGGAGATGAATTCCAGTTCGGTTTACTAGAGGTGCGAGTGCGAACTTCGAGCATCGATGGCCGTCGTACGCTGCCATTGGCACGGAGGCTGCCACTGCTTGTTTTGTTGGCTACTGTTTTGGACATGTGCCGGGGGCTGGGTGGTGATGGAGACCGGTTGGCCTGGTTTCTGTTATCGGAATATGGGGCAGTTGGAGATCGGCGAGGAGGAAGAGGCGGTGTAGATACTGTTGATACACCATTGACGCCGTTTTTTAAACCACCTCCTAGCGTATATCTAGACGTCTTCTTGCGGATACGCGGAGGAGAGTCACGCACCGGGGTTGGTGTTGTCAGAACATTATCGGACTTTTGGAAACCAGCCAATTCAGTCTTAGAAAGGATACGGCGGAGTGGAGGTTTAGCTGCCGTAAGTTCCTTTGTTGGTGTCTCCTCTTCAGGGTGGACAAGAAGATGCGGACTTTCTTGCAAATATTGCTGTTGGGTAGAGAGATTCCAAACCATGATTACTCCATCCAGGCCCGTGCTGATGAGGGTCCTTTTGATCGCGCCTGTAGAGTTTGGCTCATTGCTTTCAAGAAGGACAACGTCGCTGACTCCTTCAGTATGGCCAAACTCTCGGGTAAGGAGGGTATCCTTCTCCGAGTCATATACCCTGATGGATTTATCGGTTGTTGATACACCAATCAGAAGTCGTGGGCCATATTCGGGGTAGTCCTTTTCAAGAATGAGAGAGCTCATGACAGCAGTATCACCGCTTTCCGGGTCAAGAACACGAAAAGAATGTACCTGACGGCTAGATGGTATGTGGTATCTTTGTATCAGCCGGTCTATCGTGGATAATATAAGCGTGTCTGGATCACCAGGGGGTGTTACTATCGAAACTGGCGACGCCTTCAGTGTTATGACTTTTGAGAGAAGGAACGCAACCGTAGAGCCACTGTCATCCTCTCGGGTCATTCGTTCGCGAATAATAACTGTCCTGTCTGCCGAAGAAGATAGTAGCCTTTTCCCGTCTTTGGTGAATAGTAGCTGCCCTACTGCACCAACATGTTCATCCATGGTTTGTATCACCTCAATTGAATAGTCTTTACTTTTGAATAACTGGACCATTCTATCGCGCCCACAGCTCGCGATTAAAGTAGTGTCAGGGTCTGAGTAGATCGCAATATCTGTTACTTCAGCTCCGTGAGCTCTAACTTCGTTCTGACACTTCCACGTTTCCCCATTAATCGTCCTATTATTTTAGATTAGTCAATGAGTGGAAGTTAATAGCTCGATAGCTAGCTGGACTTACCTGACTACGCCATATCTATCCCCGGAAACGAACATTTTTATACCACCTGTGGCTCGTAAAACCTTTAGTTCGTTGGCATCCTCATCCTCGTCTGAAATCTGCTCCAAGTCCACTTTATATGTGTCGCAGCAAGTTCCATTAACATTCCAAAATCTGACCGTCCCACCACATGACCAGGTAAAAAAGTCCGACGATTTGCTATTAGGGGTCTCAACCGTGCTAATACCCAATACTGAATCCCGGTGCGCAGATACGGAGACATCTGCCACACTCTCAATGTTGTCCTTGCTCAATGGGTCTAGAGGGCATATGCGAAGGGTTCGGGATGAGTCAACTGTAATCATATGTGTATCAATTATACCCATGGAAACAATGGAAGCCTTCTTTGGTGTTGGGCACGGTTGGGTATCAATGTTTGCCGACGTTGGCGAAATCATTGGAGAAGATCTCATCTCGTCAATCGAACACTTCTCCAATTGCCTGCTACGACCACCGAACCAAATGAAGCCAGAGTTGCTATCAACAACAACGGATGAAACGCCGATATCAAATCTTTTAACATATTGAAGCTTTTGCTGATTATTAGAGTCATCCAGGAAGCAAACAACCCCTGAATCAGAGCAAATAACTGCTTCGGTGTCGGAAATGCTAGAGACACACGTGAATGTACTTTGGTGCAAATTTCCCAAGAGGCAGTTTCTCCCCGACAAGGCCACCGGTAGTGGGCTGCTAGATATAGAGGGAGAATCGACATTAGGTCGCTGCTTTGACGGGGAGCACGGCCTACCGGCATCCCCAAGCCTCCAAACTTTTACGTGCCGTATGCCAACACTGTATCGTTAGCTTTATGTCTGGATTTGCCAGTGGGAATTGGGGACATACGTGATCAGATTATTCCCCATCCAACACATATCTCGAACAAACGATGTGCATTTATTCGTTGAGTGAAGTTTCGCAGAGCCATTTCGAAGGTTAATCTGCCATATATAAAGAAACCCGTCATTAATATCACCTAAACTGGCCAAGAATTGCGAGTTAGGACTGAAAGCAAGGCTTCGAACGCCGAAGGTGTGTTCCGTGATTATTGAGAGGGGGACGTCTGCAGAAGAATCCTTGGCTGTGGAAAACAAGAGGATACGAGGATTATATCCCGTCTACGTGAGCAGCCGATATTAGCATATGTACCCGCGAGTAATATAGAATGGCATAATCGTACCTCTCCGGCAGCTAGGAACCTGCCATTGGGACTGATGGAAACACTGGTAACAGCCTTTATCCTCTCCCGCGATGTCCATGATTTCGACGCAATGCTCTCCGCCCACTCTGCTGCATTTGGAGAATTGGAAAATATAGGCGAGTTAACCGATGTGGACAACCGTAGCGAGGCCTGCGGTGGTCTAAGTCGTGATTCTGGAGTGGTTGGTGGACCCGGAGGATTATAGAATGAAAGGACGGGGTTGACACTGGTAGCTGTTGGTCGTGCTCGAAAGAAACGCTGAGAGACGGACAGGTCTTCATCTAGCTCAGCGAGAACGGCAGCAGAGCCTGCGCAGAGGGCAAAAGAACGAGAGGGTTCGTGATATGAAAAGCCGTTCGAGCTTGAGGTGGTTGTGCCGATAACGGTTTGGAGGGAAAGTGTGGTGAGATAACTTGTTGATTTGTACTGGTTTCTTGAGTTCGAAGCTGGTTTAAGGACAGGGGAATTTGCAGGAGTTATCTTCAACGAGGCTTGGGTTGTTGACGATAGTTTGCTCTTGAGGCCGAGAGAATTGCTGGCGTCGCTACTGGTGCTGGTGCTGGAACCGGTGCTGCTGTAATTTGCCATCTCCCCCTGCTCCAGACGCAAAGCTCTCTCTCTGATCTAGGCTCGCTATCATTTCAGCTCGGGGCTGCATTGGGGCTCATCCAGCGAGCGAGGCGGCTGTTTTCTGCAGAAGAGCGCGACTCTCTGCAAAGAGTTATATGTGGGGAGGTTGATTTGTAGGTTAATGTCTTCAACAGGCAAAAGATGTCGAGGAATATGTGCAGCTGGACCTAAAATTTAAGCGGCGGCAGGGTTGTTCTCTGTGATGGGAGGCTGTGGTTGGAGGGCCAGGTCGAGATGTCGGCGGCTTGCCGTGCATAAAGCGCAAACAAAGGCATTCACTGGACACGGCTTCTCCCTGCAAAAACGTACATTAGCACTCGACCGCTGCACTCGTTCTTTGGCAAGCTTCTTCCCTACTTTATCAGAGCTCGAAAACCAGCATGAAATAATAGCCACTTTTGTTGTTATTCGTGGATGTGTTCAGGAGTAACCCAGCTTGGTTGTAGCTTGACTTGGCCTGCGGGGAGCATCACAACATATAGTTACCTACGGGCGGCAAAAGAGTCCAATTGACGAAAATCCATTACAACTTCCACCGATGAGCCATGGCTATTTATTAATATTAAATATAGCAGCGTATATAGAGAGTTCTGCTGATTTTATATGCGAAAGTTGCTTGTTTTTGTCCAGCTTTTTTATTTCGACGTTGTTTATAGACTTCCGAATACGGTTTAGATGTATTACTTAATCTTCATTATGTAAGCAAATGGCTTGCTGTTGGTTTTGGGTTGTGCCAAGCCGGGAACTTAGTTTATCCGAGTGGAGCCCAGACCGCCCGGGCAAGACCTCAAGGTTCCAATTCGAAGCTTAATCTTATTTTCCAAGCAACAAGACAGGCAGCAGTCCAGAGCACTCCAGAGCACATCACATATACCGTGCAGGGCGAGTTGTTGATGTGATATACAATTAAATAGCCAGGATGTCGTCGTTTATGGATGATTCGATGATAGGCCGCTGGCTTTCGGACCTCCCCATGGATGATCCGACTCGAAAATCGACATCCCATCCCCAGCTGCGTCGTTTTGTCCACCATGAAAAGCCAATCCGCTATAAACAATTTCTAGGAGGAGGCACAGAAGGTGACGTCTATTTAGTCAAGATCGAAGGCCGTGAATATGCTCTTAAGGTGGTAAGTATATGCCCCTCCTTCCTGGATTTTTATCCTGGCTAGATTCTTACTCGTAGCCCTTGAAGTTCAAACAATGGAGATTCGATGCTCCTCTATCAATTAAGCGTCGTCTCAAGGAACGAGAAACCCACTATGTTAGCCCTATAGCAAATGAAGCCAGAGCATTTGCTAGGCTGGATAGCCTGGGTAAAAACGGTACCTGGGCTGTTAAGTGCCATGGCTGGATGAAACTATCTGGCAAACAGCGGCCCAAGTATCTCAGTCATCATACCCCATGGGCGATCGTCAAAGACTATATCCCAAACCCAATGACACTCGATGATGTCCCAGAGATCCGGCGAAAAATGAAGATTGCCCGTAAGGCACTTCTATTTCCTGACGACACCCAGCCTAGAAACTATCGTGGCTCGTTTCTTGTTGATCTTGGGCGTGTCACAACATATCCGTACCCGCGGGTTCTATGGTCAAATGAAAAGCGTCGGCAATACTTCAAATCGTTTGATAAGGAAGCCAGTGAATGGGTGGAATGTGTAAGGGATGGTGAAGTGATTAGTGGCTCGATAAATGAAATTCTCAAAGAGAACATTATAAGGGGCATAGCCATAGCGGAAGAGTATGAAGATGAGAATCGAGCTGCCGATTTACGAAGAATGCTTAAAGAAGTAAGTTTCATCAAGATTTGGTTCTGAGAATTACCGTTATTCCATTTTCTGCTTAAGACACACTGGCTAATCGATTTTTTTCTCCTTTTTCTTAAAAACAAAAACAGTCAGAAGAACGCCTTGAAAGGAGGCGGAAAGCTAAAGAGGACCAAGAAATTAAATCAAAAAAAGAAACACCAAATAGTGAAACACCAGCCTCGTGATAGTCTTAATACCTCCGATACTTACTAGATGCCGGAGGAAGATTTCTGCTAGACTCATTTTCATCACTGTCGTCGTCTTCATCTTCCTCTTCATCTTCCTCTTCTTCGGATTCGGCTCGTACCCATTGAGAACCTCCTTCGCGTGTCCGTCGTATGTAATAATAACCTCCATCACTACTCCGGATCGGAACTCCGTGGCGTATGAGACCCACAGAGCCACGTCTTGTTCGGTACTGCCACCTCGACCGCTCTGGTATCCAGCACATCCCAGTAATCTCTTCTTTAGTAGGATATTGAGGAGATGGTTGATTAGGGGAGGATAGATGCCCTGCAGGTGGCGAGCCTGAAGACTGTCGTTGGCGTGGCGGTGTCACTATGCCTTGAGCTGCTCGACGAGGTGATATTTCTTTAGCATTTTTTGGAAGTTTCTTAGAAAGCAGCCCAGTTGTGGTATGACGGTAGTCTCCTTCGTGAGGACGAAGCACCCAAGAATCCATGTGTGGGTACTCCGGTCCAATTGTAGTATCACATCCAGGTGCAGCTGCCATCATATGGATCCACCATAGAGCAAGTTTGACCGTTAATTTTCCCTTTCCTGAATTATTCCACGGAATACTCTTCATCTCCACAGGCCTGTACTCCCCACCTCGACCGTCATCTCTGTATGACTGACTGCTGGGCATGTGAGCACTGCTCGACATTCGTTCGCTACCCGGAGCGTGTTCGCTCGCCTCACTCATGGAGAGTGAAGAGAAGCTAGCAGCAATGGAAAGTTGTCGAGGCCGGCTTGAGGGTTGGTCTATTGACATAGCGCTAGCGACGGAAGAAGTTGATATGTTTCGCAGATGGCCCTGGCGTGCAGGAGAGGACCGAATGCTTGGGGGGCTAGAAGATACAAAGAGTGGACTGTCCTGTCCCATTGGGCGAGAGGGCTGAGAAGCAACATTGCGTGGGGACCTCTTATTCGCAATTCCTGACGGAATCATTGCCCTTGAGATGCGTAGAACAACAAGCTCTTTGTCGGTAATCAAATATCCGTATCTGGTATTCCAAGTTTCCCCGCAGTATTTGATAAGTTGAGCATAAGGCCAGTCGTGATATTCTTTGTCCATATCTATGTCGGATTTCCATTTTGATGACAGCTTTGTATCCCCTGGGCATAGATTAAGATGTGATACTGGACCCAAATCTGCTTGTACTCCAGCCCAGTCAGGAAATACAGGCGTATGATCGGTAGAAGCTGAAGATGCCTGTTGCCTGTCGTGCGGCGGACGAGGAATGTCCGGGTTATTCTGGGAGGCCCTTGCTCGACCTCCACGAGTCATATCAATAGCCAAATTAGGGTAATCCGAGTAAAACGCCCTCCAGGTTATTCGGAGGCTCTCATTGACAATGGATGCAATCGATCGAGTTAGGAGGTGGTCAAGGGAATCTTCATCAACTACCTCGCCTTCAATACGGCGTAGGGGAGGGGAAATTTCAGGAAATGGTCTGTTAAACCGAGTAGCCAAAACGGCGCCATAGCACGAAATCAAGGTTTCATACGTAAAGTCATCCCAACTAACAATTTGAATGTCCTCTTTGGGCACGCATTTGGTTGGAAGTCCTTTCAGGGAGTTGCTGTTGTCAACTACCGGGTTAGGCTGGGTAAGGTACTCGAGAAGCGTGGTGGCCATTTTTGTGGAAGAAATTTAACCAAAAGAGGGTAGGAGTAACAAAGAAAACGGCGTTGGGATTTAACGTTGATAGTAGAGTGATTGATAGTGAAGCAGTTGGTAGTAGGGTGAATCTCGGATTCTTGTGTGTTTTGTGAAATGATAGTTCTCCCAGAGGGGGATTTGGCGGAGTATTTATAGCCGGTTGCTCGTTGCCTAATGGTATAGAGATTGAATATCAAGTGTACCTTGGGGAGCCATTTGGGCATGAGGGCGCGGAAAGTGCACTATCTCAGTACCATGGATTAAAGCTCAGTGAGTGTCCACCAGGCAGCAGTCACCCCTGGTGGGAGGAAAGAGGGGTGAACCGCCAATCAATTCCTTAAGCGCCCACCCATGTAAAACTGCATCTAAGCCTCATCTGCCGGGCACATGAGGCTCGAATAAGCCTGTCATTGAAATTATTGGGAAGGAGCTTCCAGCAAGCTGGCGCTAAGACGACATGGGGGATATCACAGGCCAAGTCCCCCGGTTCAACATGATGGTTAAGCCCCGTAATGTCGGCGGTTAGGCAGACATTTATGCATTAAGCAGCCTCGGGCAGGGGAATAACAAGATTATATGCATGGAAACCTCCTTCAATGCCATAGCGTCTTCCAGGCTGTTGCTGTGCCTCCTCAGCCTAGTTGCATCCCAGTCTTGACTCTGGCGTATCGCCGAAGTGGGTATCTTTCACTCTGTATCCACTACCCCCAATAGGAAACCGGTCTGTAGATATCATAGACATCATATCTAGTAGAGAATAGGAAAAGCAAGCGGTAACACGCGTTATAGGTTAAGTCTTCCATGTCATTTGTCTTGAACGTCCAGTACGAGAGGTTGTGGATGCCCGGGCCGGAATTAACTAGCAGGATAATAGTTTCTCCGACTCAAAATCACCGGGCCGAACCGAACCCGAAACTTAACTGCCGACTAATTCCGCCGTTACCTGGCAGTTCAATTCCAACCACAACGCGAAGTGTAGAATGAAGACTTCGTCCATGTTACTTTCGCGAGGAGGAGGAGCGAAAGCAAAGGGCAGATGGGTAATGATCATAGTTCCAAGTTACCGGTATGGACTTGGACTTGAGCCAGCTATTTTTGGATGTCAAATACGCTATGCAGTATGCAGGGTATTGAGTCTCCAGAACTCCGGGTCATATTGCTGGCGGCTAACTACACGATAGCAGTGATTGGACAGGCTAACTCGTTAGCCCAAGTTGCCAGCATGAAGGAAAGGGCCCCTGGTGATATTAGAAAATTGTTTGTTTGATAGAAACCCGTTTGGTCTATACAGGCGGCAAGCTGAAACACCGTTTGGGCATGCCAGAGCCATTCAATCCTGCCAAGTTCAAAGTATTCTGGACAGACAACACTTGCCTGTGGGTATCCAACATCAAGCAGACATGTGGACTAACAGAATAGTAAGAATGCTAGAATTTGGCAAGGTTTTAGCGCCCGGACTAATTTCTTTCTCAGGCACAAAGGATGATTGTCGGTAGAAGACTACCTTTGTTCTGGGAGATACAAATCCAAGCTAAGGAAGGAAGTTTATGCATAACCTCATGCACAGTGCTTGATGTTGAAGATCGGGGCGGTTAAAGGTTTCATAGAAAGGACTAGCTATCTCGAAAAATGGGGCCAACAAGTTAAGACATCCAACAACAAGGGACAATATTTATTGGTCGACGAAGGACTACAGCAGTTCTGACACCTGAAATCCACAGAACTGGGCCATGGCTTCGGATATATCTCATTTCTACGGAGTAACTACTGCAATGCGGCTTCTGTGATGCCGGTCACGGATTCACAAGCGCTCTCCCTATTCCTAAACATCATGAGATGGCAGCACAGCTTCAATCTTGCTCCTCAGACAGCAACCTACCTTACCGGAACAACCCTAGGAGGTGTCACTGGTGGCTCTCTTGTTTACCATCTCGGACGGCAGTGGACTCGGCGGCTAGTTGTCATCGTCAACCGCATACAGCTGCTACACTTCATAATTACCTACCCAGAGGACAGCACACGGGTCTTCGAACTTCTGCGCCTCCCAAGGATTCTTCCTGGCCAAGCACATGATCTCTCATGGAGCCTGTGTTTTTCATGCAATCTCCATGTCTGGTCCTTACCATCGTAGAATACGGCGTCACTTTTGCGATCACATCTCCCGGTATTTCCGCTATCTATTTTGGCATTTGAGGGGTTCTATTGCATCGGCGTGATTGCTCAGGGGCTCTTCTTCCCGGGGCCGTTAGTTGGCGTGCTGCTGGACGAGCGGTTGGCCGGCCCGGGCAGCGACTGAGCCATGAACCGGGAGCGTCACCGGACCACTTCTGCTGATGACAGTAGACGCAGAAAACTGGAAGCTCGTCTTGCCTGTTTACCTGGCTACATCATGGTAGTGGTCATCCTTGGTGTGACTTTACAAAAGCCACAGCCATTGGATTTTACCCTGATTGGGTTTGCCATTCCTAACTTCGGGCTGCAGCTCGTCAACTAACTTACTACGTCTCTCAAGACATCCTGCGTCTGCTGCTATGTATCTCAAGTGCCGTCAGCTCTGCAGTTGATCAACGTCATCCAGTAAACCATCTCCTTTACCATCCCCTTCTGGAGTCCCAACTTAAACGAAGCTGCCAGATATGGGCTAAGATGCGGTATAGAGGTGATAATTTCGACAGTATTCCACCTGCTCAGTTTGATAGTCATTTTGAAGAGGCCCTGGAGGCAGACTATCCGAGTGGAAGGGGTGGTACAAGCCCCTAGAAGAACACAGCTAAACCGCGCGTCTGACCAACAACGACCTGTTACTAGCTCGGCTGCAACCCGGGATACACAACAGTATAAGTCCTTCAATCTCTCCAAAGGCTCGTTCTTAGATTGCTCTACCGGGGCTTAGCCCGTCGCGGATTCTGCGGACCCAGGCTTGGGCGGACAAAGATGGCCTGACCAACCAGTCGTATACAATAACCAACGAGCCCACAAGCAACCGACATCTATAACTAGTTAACTAGCGAGCACGAAGAATGGTTCGAGACTCCAGGGTGGATATCCTTATTCTTCTCTGCTGCCGTCTCGAGCGACGGGAAAATGCGGAAGCTCTGGCGTATAATACATTCCAATCAAATCACCGAGTCGTGGTTATATTAACTAACTATTAAACTGCCATCTCACAGCGTCACTAGTTACAGGATGATGCAGCTCGATAGTTGTTCGCTAGTTACATGGCAAAGTGGATCGGGGTCAGAGTACAAGAACACGGCGTATATTCAGGCCAGTTATGCATGTATCATGACATTGGTGAGCTCACCTGGCCACTCATTCATACTCTCTCGAATTTTCTTCCTACGGGCAGAAATGCGTATAAGTAACTGCCACCTGTCCCATGGATTCACACGGAGATCTCATTCAGCGATCTTTGGCTGCTTAATGAACATTTTTCGCAATGGGCTTCCGGTATACCTTTGGGATTGCCCTTTTCGCAGCAATCGGGACATTTCTCTTCGTATGTTTATATGTTTATATAACTATTATATAAAAATGAGATCCATAGCTAATTAATATTCCAGGGGTTTGACACTGGTATTGCTACGACGAGTAAGACACGGCCGTTGTGCTTGTGATGTATGATTGGAGGGGGCTGATTTGATCTAACTAGCAATTGCACACAAAAGCTGGATCAGTTATATGAAACATCCATCCAATGGACTCACAGGCGCTGTAAGTCTACAGATACAGTCCATCCCGATTAGTATCGTGCCACTGACAAGAACAAAAAGGTTGTTGCTGTTTATATAGCAGGGGAGGCTGTTGGTGCCCTTACTCAGACTTTCATTGGCGACAAGCTTGGGCGCATTCGGTTCATGCAGTTCATGTGTGTGGTGGTCACCGTTGGGACAGCCATACAGACAGCTTCCGTGAATATTGGAATGTTCCTTGCCGGGCGTGCTTTGGCAGGCTATGCTGTAGGGTAAGTCCTGCATCCGAAAGTTATACGCCCACTTTCACCTCCATTACGAACCAAAAACTAACAGAATATATAACTGATAAAGCGGGCTAGTTGGCACTGTTCCCATATACCTCAGTGAAATTTCTGCGCCGCATCAACGGGGACTTATTGGCGGTATATCTGGTTGTGGTATTGCATTAGGAACTATGATGTCTAACTGGGTGGGCTTTGCGTGTTCCTATGCCCCTTATGGTCCAGTGCAATGGCGTCTCCCTCTCAGTATCCAGATCCCCTGGGGAATAATCTTGTTCGTCGGCCTTGCTACCTTCATGCCAAACTCCCCTCGTCAACTCCTGCGAATTGGCAGGGTGGATGAGGCCCGTGCTGCTTTCCTGAAGATTCGCCGTGATTACGACTTAAATGAGTCTATCGAGGAATTTACGGTGATGAAGGCACAGATCGAGTACGAGATGAGGAGAGAAGTTGCTTCCATCCGTGAGGTCTTCAACCTGTTCAAACATCGGGCTCTTGTCTCCATTGCCGTTCAGACTATGACTAGTCTCACTGGTGTCAATGTCATCCAGTATTATCAGAGTGAGTTACTATCGTTTCCCCCTCAACTGCGTGACTAAGTCTAGATAGCAATCCTATATAGATCTCTGGGTATCGGCCCGCAGACAATTCTTGCTTTAACTGCTGTGTATGGCACCGTTGCTTTTCTCTCAAATTTTATCACCACTTTATACCTTACCGATCAATGGGGACGCCGGAAGTAAGTCATCAGTAGCAATTGACCGTCACAAATGGGTACTGAATTGCGTTTCTAGAATGATTCTCTCAGGCTTATCTGGGGTTATCTTGGTAGAAATATACGCTGCAGTCATGCAATGGACATTTCAAAACACAAACAACCACGTTGGAAAGGGGTTTGCCATCCTGGGAATCTACCTCTTCGTTGTCAACTATTGTAAGGGCCAAATCAAATTTACATCTTGGACATACTTGATACTAAAGGTTCTCGGTTAGATGGCATGCTTAACAGCACCACCTGGCTATATGGAGCGGAGGTACTACCCGTGTCCCTTAGAAGCAAAGTGATGGGACTTGCTTCTGCCTCTCACTTTATAGTTAATGTTGGCAGTATGCAACTCCTATATCCCGCTTACATCCATGACTCGCTTCTGACGCTTCAATATAGTTACCGAGGCTGGCCCAAGTGCTTTTGCAAATATTAAAGAAAATTATTACTACGTTTTTGTTGCCTGCACTCTGCTTTTTCTCATTGTTGGATATTTCTACTTTCCGTGAGTCATTCACCCCCTTAGCAAGCCTCTCTGATATATGCAAGCACGCCGTCCTGACCGTCAAATAGAGAAACCAAACACAAATCTCTCGAGGAAATCGCAACTTCATTTGGTGATAAGGTTGTGGGTGTTTCTAGTAGTGACTCTGAGACCGAACGAGAAGTAATGGCGAAACAACCGGCTATCCAACATGTCGAGGCGCACTCTGCCGCATCGACAACCGTCTAAACCTGATTTTCATTTGCTTGTTCTCAACAACTTGATATTTTGTTTTGTAGTTCAGGTTGATAAATTGAATGTATCTAATATATCAAATTTGGTAGCTAGTATCTTAGGCTCGATTTTTCCATGGTTCTCTCTGCTCGACTTCGCTATTATCCACCATAATATTATCAGGGTTTACGCCTAGTTCACTTATATATTTTGGTCATTAGCGACGTGGTCGCTGGCCAGCAAAAGGCCCTGCGATGATGTTTGATATCTGGTAATTGATATCCAAAATTTTGACTGGCCAACGAATTAATTTAACGGGCCGCAGATGCGGGGTATTTAATCGGGTATTCTGGTCATCAGATCGAAAACATCTACAAGACCAACTCTGCTTCTTCATGATCAGTCAAAAGAGTCGAATACCACCTGCAAGAAGCCGCTCAATAGCGACTGAGAATCCCGACTCCCTTATCTGATATATTTCGGTCCATTTAGTCGGTGGTTGCTAGTTATCCCGCTCAAACCCCTACCAAACACAGATACCAAGCCGCATCACATCATACACAAGATGTCGTCTGATGAATCACGCTCTAGCGAAACGGCGGAAGCCCGTGCTGCCTTTACGGCTTCTCTCAAATCTGTTGGTGCCAATCTTGATGCCGACCTGCGCACTCGAGCCGGAACTCTGCATGACAACGCAGCTGTCATAGACAAACAACAGGAAGATCTGAAGAGGACCACCCAGGATGTATCCAAGCAGAGCAAAGAGCTGGAAAAGCTGCTGGATCAAGGCCAAAATGGCTTAAAGGAGGTTGGCGATTTGCAGAACTTCGCGGAAGTCATGGAAAGGGATTTGCTAGTTCTCGAGGAGACGCTGAGGTTAGCGGAAGAGGAGGATCAGAGGGTGGGAAGAGTTGAGAAGCCGGCGCAGAGTTGGCTGAAGAAGTGGTTTTAGGCTCAGTTAAAAGGACCTGACATGGCGTTCTGGCGTTTACTAGTTACCTTTCGACCGTCCTGAGTTGCCTATGGAAATGGATTCCCGTTGTTTGGTTACCACAGGCTGGTTTATATTCACCCCTTGGTATGTTGGAGAAGAGGCTGGAATTGCTCGATTTGCCCAACCAGCATGTAAACAGGACTGCAGAGTTGGGGAAATATGAGACTTTGGTTTATATAGTTGTTTTGATTTGTATCCAAAATATATCAACAAGCAGACGATGCCTGCAATCTAAATGGCAGCACCCAAATATTAGGTATCTAGATAGCATCACACCTATGAGTTGTAATCTTCGACGAATTCTTCCCATATATGTTTGATACTCCTTGGTTGCGTCCCAGCCCCAGACCAGCGTTCTTTGTGGCTATCCCACTCACTCCATTCATTCCACTGTCCTAGGCTCACTAGATGTCTCATAGTAGGTCTTCCATGAGGACAGTTCCATGGCTTGTCTATAGTTCCCATGTGTTTGACAACAGTCTCCATTTGCCGATGGGTAAGGTTTTTTCCAATCATAATACTGGACCGGCAAGCTCTCATAGCGAACATCTTTCTCACCTTGCTCGGTCTAGGAACAAGATAGTCCGAGAAGGGCGATGAAGCCACGCCCGGTGGTTCAGTATGCTCCGCATCACTATCGAGTTCGTCCCTTGCTCGTTTGCCTAGATTGTTTTGTGATTGTTGCGGCGCTTCAGAAAGCAGGACAATCAGCTCTTCCAGATCGCGGGTGTCGAAGACAACTTCTTTGCTTAGCGGTAGGCTAATCAGCTTGCACCGTCTACCGATGGGCTCGTCACCGCTGGTATCTATCTCAACAATAAATCCATTCTTCTCTAAAGCAGCAAGATTGTCGATGATAACCTCTTCTTCCACAGCGGTTAGATCAAGTGTCTTTGGTTTCACCAGCCTTTGGTTTTGCACTGTCGTCTCAGCTTGGAGACGCTCAAAGTTATACTTCTCATCAGAGGCGTGCTGATCAATGATGAATAACTCATCCTGCTCTTGCTCCGCTGACGGGGTTGAAAAAGAGTTCTCATCTCCTGTAACTCCCGGCCTTGTCGCAAGGATGAAGCCAAGGTTAAACTGCCCGATTATTCGCATTCTGGAGAAATCTTTCTTGGAGACTGCAAGGGACAGCTTTGTCTCAGGGGCAATCTGCTGGTCGCCGTCATCGTCTGCATCTTCAACTCTATGTAACCCCCTGTTACTCAATGATTGTATTCTCCTCTGAAGAGATTTCATCTGAGTTTCAATCTTCTCAATAGATGCATCGATAGTGCATGCTAGCTCATGTGTAGAATCTTTCTTGCGAGGTTTTCGGATCAGTCTCTCTGCCCGCTCCACACTATGCTCTGAAGGAACGGCAGATGCTTCCTCTGCAGCCTTGATTAGCTCATTGACTTTTGCATCTTCCCTGGTCTTTCGTTCATCATCATCAACGTAGCTTTCACCAGAACCAGAGCCCGGAGAATCAGTGTCTTCGGGGTGAATTGGCTGGTCTTGCTGTAGGGATTCTACCCGACGCTCTTCATGCGCTTCATCAATATGTCCCTCTCCGTCGACTTCATCCTCTCCTCTACTGTCTTCTCCAGGGTCTTCCTCTGGTTCCTCTTCAGGGCCATTACCTCCGTTTAGACGACCAATGAATTGTGTTTCATTGTCCTCCTCGCCCTCATCATCCTCGATGGGATCATCATGGATTTGTCCCTGCTCTAATTGTGTTCCAGGGGCGGTGAATGACTGAATACTTCGGCCTATTTTACTCCTGACAGTAATAGCTCGTGTCCTTGATGAAGGTGAGTGTAAGTGCAAACCTGGATAACTATCCAGCCTTCGTTTCACTGGATCTCTACCAATAGTCGACTGGTAGGTCTCGTTCCCTATGGTAATTGTCGCCACATCTACCGGTATCCGGTTCATTCGCATTCGATCAAAAGCATTTTGGACTACCCCAGGCTTGTGCGTTGGCGTTCCTAACATGGAGCTACTTGACATGGGCTGTCCCTGTGTTGGCTGAAGTTGAGTTGGGTTACCTTCTGCTGTCTCATCGTTGATATTAGACGGGATATCATAAGCCCCACTGGATTCAGGAATGACCGGGTCATTCTCGACTGTAATATCGGTATTGTGTGGTGAGCTCTCCTGGTCACCACCTTCGAACCTTTGAAGAACACCCCTTATTGACGATTGCGATGTTTGGGTAGGTTCTGGGTTGTTCTCTTCCACAGTATCATCTTGTCCTAACTCTTGGCTATACATTGCATTACCTGGTGGTTCCTCCGGTTTGTCTTGTGTTGCACCGACCGAGGCTGGTGGAGTCTGTCCCCGATTTGGTGTTAATTGGCTTTGCTTGCTAAATGTAAGCTGAGAAACAGGAACGGTCTGATCTTCATTCTCGAATAGTTCTGTAAGGGATGCCTTCAAAGATTCGATCAAAGCACCGGCATCATGCAGCAAGATTGTCTGCTTATCTGGCGAAACATTAACGTCGTACGCACTTGTGTCCATTTCAAAGTTGGCAAAGATAAACGGTGACTGTGACAAATTGAACGACTTGTAAACTTCGTTAAAAGCCTTTGCAATCTGAGGTAGTCCACACGGTCGAGAGTTCACGAAGAACATCTGCCGATCAGGCGTTTGTCTTCCTTCTCCAAATACCGGCTTGGATATGTGACCATGCACAAATATTTTGTTGGAAGCTTGGCTGGAAAACCTCTTTGCGGCCGTACTCGGCTCATACTCCAGGTCCAAATCGAGCGGCATTAACGCAAGCAATGTCTTTGTGCCATAAACATTGGAAATATTTTCTCGTGTTGTAGGGTTAGATTTCGTGGTGAAAACAACCACGCTCTTCCCCTTCGGCATCTGATTTTTGACGTTGAATCGGACACCAGTACTTATACATGCATACGCATGTAGCAGCGCTATCACCTTTCCGTACTCTCTTTTGACATTTTTCTCTAATTCTCGCCGCCGAACCGGTAGTGGTTTGAATAGATTCTCAATCGAGACCGTCGTTCCTTTTTGACCAGCAACTACCTGCGTGCTCTTGAGTTTCCCAGAGAATTCGAAATCCAGCTTCGAAGCTCTAGGAGCCTGCTGCGCTTCCGCAGTAACCACAGTGAGGTTTGAGACTGCACATAGTGAAGAGAGAGCCTCGCCACGGAAACCAAATGTTTGAAGGGATGTCAGGTCTGCGAAGGTCGACAGTTTGGATGTGTAGTGTTTCAACGCTATATAATTTAGCGATCTGATTGTTCCTCTGGAGGAAGATAGTGGTATTTACCCAGTGACTCATAGTTATTCGGAGAGATTCCATGGCCGTTATCCTGAACTTCTATCAGGTCCAGGCCGTTGTTTTTGAAACGCACATCTAGGTAGGACAGAAACACCGGTTAGTCATGTTCTCTCCGCTGGTTCATCAATTGTACATGCCTATAGAGGTCGCGCCGGCATCGAGACTATTCTCAACCAGCTCTTTAACCACCGAACAGAGGTCAACGATGACCTGGCCCGACTGGATTTGGTGGACCTACAGAGTGGTATTAGAGACTTGTAAACAGGAGTCAGTGTCCTCCCCTATAGGATCTCACCGAGCGAGCCTCGATAGGCTTGATTGTTGCCATATTCAGGTCATGGTGGCAGCAGTGTGGTGTTGAAGATATTCCATTGTCGCCTAGCTGGCGGTTGTTATTGATGCTGCGCGTCTCGCGTCTAAGACTTTTAAGAAGAAAAATATTAACGTTTCTTCCATCTGACGTCATCAGCTATTTCTACGTGTTTTTATGCGATTTCATGGTATAATATAATAATCATATGAAGATATATTCTGTTAATTCCCTATCGATACAGCAATACAGAAGTACATAGATGGAGCGATATGCTTGGAAACAACGGTATGACACATGGTAGGGTATGTACCAATAGAAAGCCAGGATTAACGCCGGTAAAAAAGATATAGCAGGAACATCAGATCATACGTTGAATCGGTCGGGTAGAAGAACCGGCGCAACTAGGGTCC